ATTTGTTGTTTAATGAAACAATTTTTTTCGTGGCATCGTGGCGCGTAGGAAGTATATTGTTATAATGTAAAAAAACATAACAACAAACAAAATTTTGAAAATATATTTAGGTAATTTTGTTTATTATAGTTTACTTATTCGGTAAAAAATTTATAATTATAGCATTTTAAATTTTAAGGTATATTATTTAATTCAAGAAAATTAGAATTTTCGTCAATTTTGGATTAACAATTAAAGGGTTGAAGATACGATGATGGTCGTAAGAACTTTTTTTATTCGAAATATCCTAAAGAATATAAAAAAAAATAATTCATTGCAAAAAATGCATTTTTTCTGGCTTAATTAATTTTTCGTTGTTTAAACAATAACATCAAGAAATATCGAGTGTCATCTTACACTTTTATAATCAGGAAAGCCTCCGGACATTTAAAAAAAAAATTATAAATTAAAACAATTTTGCAAACGAATGCGCCAGTATTCTCTGGTCTAATTATGAAATTTTCAGACATATTATATTAGTCATATACGGGTTATATATTAAGAAAAGTGGTTTAGAATCAAAAACTACATTTAAATATGCAGCTACCTATCTTAAAATAGTATATTTTTTTAAATGAGAGGGAAATATTGTCGCACGAAACATAATCCGAGTGCGACAATTTCAGGAGTAAAATAATCACTTTATCAAAAAATGTAAACGCGCAGAAAATCTGGCTATAAAGGTTCAATATAAATATTTTACGAATAGTGTTTTGTCTAAATCAAAACTATTGTGATTCCATTTACAAACACTATCATAGGATGATAACAGTAAAATAACATTAGATACAAAAAATATTAGAATAGAATAATGGTTTTCATTAGTTGTTTTATTGATACAAAAATAATAAGACGAACAACCGTAAATAAGAACTTTTCTTATTATATTAAAGATGATTATCTATTTATCTACTTACATATTTGTTCTGAACAGTAATCCAAATAGTACAAAATATAAAGTGAAAAAAAAAATAACTGTAGGGTTTAGATTATGATAAATAAACTATATTTAAAATAAATTAATAATATTAGTGGTATTTTTTCAATTTTCATATTTTTTCAAAACAAAACATATAAGCAAAAATTGCTTCTTTCGGGAATTGAACCTGCGTCGCAACATAGTCGCGACATCTGAGTTAATAAAATTTAATGACTGCTTGTCACAAAAAGTATCTAGTCAAATAATAATATGTATATTGACCAGAAAATACATAAAAATAATGTAGTTAGTTTAAAATTATTTTATTTATTTGTTAAAATGAAACATCTTGGGTCTAGATATAAAAATAATTCAATTTAGTCATTTGATTTTACTATCAATATAAATATTACATAATTCAAAATAGAAATTATGTGTCAGACATATTTGACAGCTGACGCGGAAAGTTATACTTGGAAAACTCATAAATAATTTTTTTATATATATTTTATAAAAATAATCAGCTTCTTTTAATCAGTTATTCGATATTATCAAATGTGAACAATGTTCTTGTAGCAAATTGATATGCTGTGCAATCTCTACGTATATTACTGATAAATTTGTATTTGGGTTAATTTCGTAGGTCTTCAAGACCATGCTGAAAATTTTTATGAGGTAACAACCTAAGTAGGCACGCTGAATATGTTGAATTTAAAGAATATGCGAATAAGTTAATCGATCCTCAATATATAAGGACAATTTAAGTTATAAAGATAAACGTTACAAAATATCTTACCTTATCGTGAAATTCAGATGGCAAAAAGTATTTCAATAATCCTATAACTTTATCGAAAATATGTGGTAAATTAACAAAATGGATATTTTTAAATCTTATACATACACCTATCTGAAAATAAAATAAAAAAAGTTTAGTTTCGTTTTTTATTTTAAGATTGTTATAAAATTAAATGATACAAAATAAACATGCATATTGACCAAAATTCGGTTAAATATATGTTACTCGAGAGGTCAGTTGAGCTTTAATTTCGATACTGTTTTTTTGCGTATCAATGACTCAGATGTTCTTACCAACTTCTATCAATTTTTTTTTATCATTTTAGGCATCCTGCTGCTCCCCCTAATCAATTCCAGCATAATTGCTTCAATTAGACTTGGGTCTAGCCACTGGCTTCCCTCAAAAATACTTGGGGTCCAGCCCGCTTTCCCTCCTCTTTGGAGTTCAAATGGCGGCACTGAATCCAAGATGGCCTACTGTGCCACCATTTGGATGCCCTACTCCTTCCAATTCATCATACTTCTGATTCATCATTATTCATTCCATGTCATCAAATATAATCATAGAATCATATAAATCATCAAACATAATCATTTTTACCTGAGAGCTACTAAATAGTAGATGCTAAAAATTTTAATTTAAGAAAGCACCGTCCACTTTGTGCTACTTAGAAATACATGGTGCTGGCTACATTATAAATTATTCGAGTGGTCCATATTAAATGCGTGGCCCATATGCGGACCAATTTTTCTAAAGCTTTATTTCTGCTTTATTTGTGTTAAATATTTTTCTCAATTTATTTGTTTGGTTTTATTGTTAAACAATTTGAAAGTCTCTTGCTAAGCTCTTGGAAAATTAATCTCCTCACAATTTCTAAAAAAAATTGCCTTAATGTTGGTAAGACATTTTGAACCCTTCACTGTCATATCCTTTGTATCAAGTTTGTTTATGTAGTATCTATCTAACATAATTTTATCTTTCGTGTTTTTTATATCTTATATAATTTACATCTCAGATTTTTCCAGGATGATTTGTCCTCTGCTATTAATAGAAAAAACTGGCCCAGTTGCGGCTTTATTTTTTTCTGATGCTGACAAATCTTTTTGGAATTTTCTTAGTTATTCATCATTTTGACCGATTTTCTTTCTCATTAGTTAGTCTTGTAATGTTAAACAGTTTTTTATTCACACTTCACAAATCATTACAAAAATTAATAGTTTTTTAAATTGGCCTGACTTTCTGTCAATTTCAATGTCATTGTCACTACTTTATGTCACTGATACATGATGTTTTTTTGGTGTTTTCCGATCTTTAAGATGCCTCCAATAAATTCATTTATTACTTCAATCCACCTCCAATAGGCGCCCTTCACCATTACTGTAAAGCAAAGAACAAACCTTAGGCTTCCACACCCTGTTGCGTTCAGAAAAAGTTCAATGTACCTCTGCTAAATGACGTTTGGTGCATTATTACAACTTGTTGCATGCCTCTTACTGGCTTGAGATTAAAATTTAGTTGTATTAACCTATTGGTTTATTTTCAAAGTTTTCTATAACATTTTAATGTAATTTTTTTGACGTGTAAGTTTAAAAATGTCTACACAGAGAGAAATTCAGTACGACTCTAGTTCTTAATAAAGTAAAAACTTCTTGATTTAAAGTATGTAAAACAATTTTTTAATATCTCCACTTTTAAACCTCGTCTAGGAAAAAATTCAGGGAAGAAACAAGGAATAAAGTACATTTATCGCCAGTGCATCTTAGAGTTAACTAGTGTTTAAAATGGATTATAATGTAAATGAGGGTTTCGAATTTTATGATAGACGTAATAAATACAGAATACAGAAACATTAAGTTATAAGATTTCTTGTTAAAGTGCAGATTAGCATATTTAGTAATAAAAAAAAATTCAGGGAAGTCTAATTTGTTTTTCAGTGAGACATCTTTATAAAAGAAGATGTACAATACACGGCACGAAATTTGGTGCATAAACTATAAGAATATTGATGGTTTTTCTATGGCTACATGTAAGTCAATAAGAACTACGTTTTATAATTATTTTGAAATATATGTAATGCCCAAAAAAGTGTGGCATTTCAAAGTTATATTTTTTATTGAAAGCCCAATATTGTATTGCATTTATGAGCGGGAATATCCTGGGGTTCAGTACTGTCACCATACTTGTACACCAATATGACCCATGATTTGCCAATGGGTAATAATGGGGTACAAACGACACTATATGCCGACAATATCTGTCTATTTAAGAACGATAGATCCACGAAAACAGCAGTTATAGAACTGGATAGTCATATAATCGAGACCATTAATCCCCTATTTAGCCAATAACAAAATGAAAATTAATGCAGCCAAAACAGAAGTATGTAGATTACTAACCGCAGGACATAGAGCATTTTAAGTTGAAATACCTTAGTTTTCAGCTGGATAGGTGACTAAAAACTACATGGCAATAAAAACACTATACCCATTACTAAACAAAAGAAACAGAGGCACGCTTAACTTTTAAAACCATCCTTACACACATCTTGACATATGGCTGTCCAGTTTTCTGCTCGATGGCAAATAGTCATTATTATAAATTGTGAATCGCCCAAAAGAGATGTCTATGGCTAGTGCTGGGCTACGATCGATATGCACGAATAGCGGACATGCACGTCCAGACAGACATCTCTTCAATTAAGGACTTCATACTTAAGACAGCTGAAAATTTCTACCTGCGGTGTGTTCCCGATAATGTGATAGATGATATATCTTAAGCATATATCGGGTTTACAATGTGCGTAGAAATCACGGTTGTATACATTCAAGACTCGACACTTACAGACAAAGACGATAACATCCTTCATAGTAACGACAAACAAACTAAATAACATCTCACTTCGGCTAGATATTTACATCATCTAGTTGGACAGCAGACTGCGCGGTGGATCGGCCGCTAGAGCACCAAGCGCGAACTATCCAAAACAAGTGTCTTCGGCTGGCTTTGGGGTACGATAACTACGCCAGAATTCTTGGCATGCACCATGCCTACTACTGCCGAGAAATTGTTTACACATTGTCTTCCGCAATACGTGAAGAGAGACATCTTCTTACAAAACAGCAGAAATGTCAGGGATAAGAGGCATAATTAATAAGGACAGACTCAGCAACACCCTCTTCGCTGCGAACAATCCACTAACAGCTATTTTACAGGACTAATATTTGTTGAGGTTAATCCAACGAAAAACTGCACGATGACGTCACTTGCTAGTGTGGAGATCGAAGCCTGCTACGATCTTCTCCCTAGCGATGGATTTCCCCGTGCAGCCTCCTAAAATAGTAATTATAGACATAAATTATACAATAGACAATGATACACACCAGGACTATCCTGGTTTTCTCAGAAAAAAAAAATCATAAGTAAACTCACACAAAAACTAACTATAAAGTCAATTTTTCGATCACAAACCAATATTGCCGTATACTATCGAAATATAAGGAGATGGCACGTTAGTGCACTGGCCATCGTTCACCCTGCAAGTGAGCTGTAGTATTAAACAAAGACTATACATGACCAACGTACACACAAAGATAACCCTGTTTTTTCTAGCATTTTCAGATGACTAAACCATAACTAAAAACTCCACAAAAACATAAACAATTTCTCATTCCCGATCCAAAACCAATCATAATCCCTCAATGATACTGCATCGGTAAAAAGTGAGAGCTGTTATATTTCCCAATTTTAAATCTCAGATAAGTTTATTAGGCGAACATGTTCACCAAGGTCCAGTGGGCTCGCACAAAAAGTCTTGTGAACTCAGTTGTGCCGATTTATTTTATTTAGCTATGATATGTATATAATTATTTCTTAAACCTGTAAATAAGATGTCTCTAATCTAATAAATTTAAGACACAAGTGTCAAACGTAAAAAAACCTATTTTTAAAATATATAAATACAAAAAATATGTAAGACTTTCATATATTCTTGTTCTGGAATATTGTGAATATTTTTAAATAAATATTAAAATATAGCTCTTGAGTTACATGTTTCTTAAGAATATTTTTTGAAAATTGTTGGTTCCGTCCCGTATGTGGTGAACCACCCTGTATCAGGGTTTTACAGGCTACACAATTATGAGAAGTGCTACACGTTTCATCAAGAAACTGCACAGGTGCACCCCAATCGCCAATTTCATTGTTTCCTACAGATTTCTAACAAACTACACAAACAAAAGTACACTATATGCCAAAAATACCAATCACATGCATTTTTCTTTCTCTTTATTCGAATAAAATTAGTTAAAAATGGTTTGGCTACATGTGCCATCTAGCGGCTACTAATAACAATTATTTAAATCAATGAAACAAAATACAGCTCAAGAAATAAATCGCGAATTAGACAAAAGGTGTCGCAAGCGTAAACGCTATTTTAAATTATCGCTGTCACTTTCACCATCATCACTCGTAGGTGCACAGTGCTACATAATTTTGTTACAGGTTGCTACACTTTGAAAAATAAGTGCGTAAGAACCCTGTCCTGTATAATCACTTTGAATTTCTTAGGTAACACGACAGCTCCCGCCCCCTGGATATATAACATCTTGTTCATCCCACCTCTACGCCCAACTACTACTTTTCGCAGTCATCAGGAAGACAATAATATTAAAGTATAATATTTTTGTTAATTTGTTTTTAATAATTTTATATAGGTTATGTTTATTTTATTCTTTAATAAATATTTTATCACACTCGATCACACTTATCTTTAGTCCTACGAACTTTTTAATTTCGAATTTGCTGTAATTCCTGAAGAAACAATGATTTATATATCTATTTTAATCTTTTTTGTACAGAAGTTAGATTTAAATGAAGTTTAAAAAAAATGCATTGATTTAACAAAAAAAAAAATGCAACGTTGGATGTTTTTAACAATTTTATTAATCTTCAGAAGTTTATTCTGATGGAAACATTAATTTTTCAATCAAAAACGTATTTATCACTTCAAATCGTCCTCTGTAAAAAAAAATTAAAATATAAAAATTATTTGAAGTATAACGTATTCTTAAAACAAGAATAAACGTGCTTTATTTAAGCTTCTCCAAAATACTCAAAAGCAAAATAATTCCTAATTTAAGATGTATCTATTATCAAATTAGGAATAAATTGTTAAATTAAGAAATAGAGTACTATCGTTAAGCACGCTGCATATTCAAATGCAGAATAAATATGCTTGATTTAAGTACGATAGTGCTCATATAAAAACAAGAATGTCCAAACTTAAATCAATCACCTAGCATTCTTTTTCATAAAATGTAATAAACTTAAATGCAGCATTGCATTCTAATAGTTAAACCATGCAAAATCTTGAAATAAGTATTTAAATACTAAAATCAAACATATTTCAGCATCATATATATTTAAACTACAATTAAATTAAAATTTAAAATTGTAATTTATTAATAAATGGGCTTGCCCGTAAATAAATAAATAAAAATAAAAAAATAGACGATTTTTATTTAAGGTATAAGAAATAAGAATATACATACTAAGTTTAACAATGCGTGCTTAAAAAATTCATATATAAAGATTGTGGCATGCTTGGCTCGAAAATGCTAATTTTTTGCTTAAAATAAGCATAAATTTCTCTCTGTGTAGTTCATTATAAAGCTATTATCTTTGTTAATCGCTATATTGTCCAAATGATGACCTAACCGCTAAAAGTGCTCGACTTTAATTTAATTCACTTGGAAATATATTAATATATTTCCCTTTCATACTTCATACAGACTTTAAATTGAAATTCTTTAATTTCTTACTACCCAGTTTTTACCTACACACGGCCTCACACTCTCTTGACTTACCATACAGTTTATCAAGGTGTTACAAACATGAGGTGTATATTTCATTAGGTTCTTCAGTCCAAAATCTGTCAGATCAATTATTAATATGTTGGAGTAAAAGTAGTCTCCTGAAAATAGTCTGTATTCTACGCTCATCAATGGTAACACTTCGTAAATAAGTCCATCTGGTGCACTCTCATGTGGATTGTCTACTCTGAAGATGGTTATTCTGCACAAATCTGGTGTTAATTTAGGCATGACAGCAATTTTTCTGAAATAATTAATATTTTTAATCATTACAACGAACCATAAATATTTATTAAAAATTCTCATGGTCTGCTCTGGTATCCGAACCAACATGTTGTATTCCACTTAATACATAGTTACTCGATACACTTAAATACCGATACTAATGATAATATTATTAACATTATTATTATTATTACACTTTAAAATGTAAACTACATTTATACGTGTAAATTTTAACAAAAAAAGGAAGTATAAAGAAAACTAATGGGGTCATGTTCTCAAAAACGCTCGCATACAATTATTGGTATTTTTAGTTGTGCATATTTTTTTAATCAAATCTTATGCAGGGTTTGTAATGTAATAGTGGCTAATACCAACTTTCTTATTTTAAATGCAACAGCCTTTATATTTTTCAATTTTTAGATTTTTCAGAAAATTCTAGATATATTTTATGTACTATATCTTATATCTATAAGTAATACTGTATTTCTTCATAATGTAAATGTAAAAAAAAAACAACTCAATGTAGGAGATGTTTAAAATGCTCGCCGCAAACCTCTTGACAACATCCTAATTTGAAGAAAAAAATATTTTCTAACGTTACTCAACATCTTAGGAGTGATCTATCTAATTGCAAGCGTTATTTGTCTTCCTAACCCAGATGATTCGTTAGAAAAACAGTGGTATAATAGCGTTCTACATACTAACTTTGAAATTTTAAGACAGATGGCGATATCAACATCGTATCAGTGACAAAATATCTTTTAATTGTTTAGTATATCGTCGTTCACGAGTAATAGCAGAGTTGTTTATAACTATCAATTTTTATTGGTTTGTTTCTATTTGTACGTCATAGATTCTTGTAAGTGAATCAAGAAGGTTCACTATATTTTAAAATAAATAGTATATTGGGTATTTATAGATATAAATAAAGACATGTTAAATGTTTAAAAAATATAAGCAACCATTTTTTTCTGTGGTGTCACCTCTTGAAAACGACGTCCCGATAAAGGAATGCTAGGACAATATACTCTGTCCATGATAATGTGATATAATATTTTCTTTATAGTTTTTGTTGTTGCAGACGGCCACTGAAACTCCATGAACTTCTGGAAGACATAGGTAATCTCGATAAAAACTGTTTACCACCAAACAGCATAACAATTTACCACCCGAAAATGAAGATCTGGTTTTGCCCAGTAATCTTCCCGGAAGCCAATTGAGGGCTGAAGCATTATTTACCAATGATAGAGACACCCAAAGGAATGACGAGGACTCTAATAGCGAGGATGATCTATTTCTATCAATACGTGTAGCCAAGAGGAAGAAATATCGGAAAATAGCGATTTAAGAAAAAAAAGAAAAAAGCCTGTAGTCGAATGGTCCGATGATAATATGCAGTCCATATTTCTTGCGTAGTTAAAATAATATGGCCCTAAAAATGATAAATCCCCACTAGATTCATTTATGTGCTTCTTTGATAGGGATATAATTCAAGTGTTAGTAAACAACACGCATATGTACGCCTCTCAAAACAATCAAATTTCTACAATTTCTTATTATGAATTTTATTACTTCATTGTAGTTCTCATTCTAAGCGTGTATGTCATCGTTAGTCGTCGTAAAATGTATTGACAGAATTCTTCAGATGCAAATAATATTCTAGTTTGTGAAGCAACTTGACGAGAGGTTTTAATATATTATGTCAAATTTACATTGTAATGACAATAATCATCCAAATAACGAAGATCAGTTCTCTAAAATTGTTCGATTCATTAATAATAATAATAATAATAATATTTATATACAGCGTACATAAAAGGGCGAAGTTTAGCTAAAGCTGTTTTTCAACTTAACCCACAAAAAAAATACAAATCGAAAAAACAAGTCATAAAAAAAAACAAAATATAAGCTCAAAAAAAACAATATTATGTATATACAGTGAGCATCATAAGTCTTACCCCCCTAACTATCTCCTTACTAAAGTCTTGTTAGGAAAATCGCTAAGACACGTCGACTTTTGATTTCTACAATGTACATTTTTGTATAAATAGTTTACCCTCAATTTCATCCCTTACTGGAGGGGAGCAATCCTTTCGAAAAAATTAAATAGCATGGGGTGATGAGTGATAGCTCATTTGAAAAGGGGTTTTATTCTCTTTTTAACCGTGCAAAAAATTTTGATTTGCTTCATTTTGTGTTGATTTATTAATGTTTAAAAATAACAAAACATTACAAATAGAAAAGCAACTAAACTAACAGTGACCTTATCTAATGGCAAAAAGTGTTACTTCACGTCTGAACCAAAACCGATATCATGCAGGACTAAATTTTAATTCTAAGGATGAGTGCTTATTCTGAAACAATAATTAGTCGAGAATTAATGAAGCAAATTTACAAATTTTTTGCACGGTTGAATAGAGAATAAAACCCCCTTTCAAATGAGCTATAACTCACCACTCCATGTCATTTAAATTTTTTGAAAGGGATGATATTAAGGGTAAACTATTCATACAAAAATGTACATTGTAGAAATCAAAAATTGACGTGTCTCGGCGGTTTTCCTAACATGACTCCAGTAACGAGTTAGATAGGATGGGTAAGACTTATGATGCTCACTGTATAATAATATTCATAAGTCACTATACATATATGAATTGAATTGAAATTCAAGCAGGTACACGAACCAAAGACCAAATTGACAAGTCTGTTTTTATCAATAAGGACAATTAGGGAAAGGAATGAACATAAAGTTTAATTTTCTTTTTAAAGTTGTATATAGTATAGTTTTTATATTCTGGGGGAATGCAAAAATATTGCGGAATGAAATCGTGGTAATATCAGTAATTGTTTGTTTTGTGTACTTCTATTATTTTGATTTCGAAAAAATTTAAACCTTCAGAACATATATGAGGGTTGTTTTTTTGTTAATATTGTATGTGTTATATTTAGCAAACTTAAAGACCTTTGTTTATTTAATATCAACCAACCAATTTCTTTAATCTTGTCACTGATATGGTCAAATTTGGGAAGATCTGTTACGAAACGAGTACATGAATTTTGTAGTCTTTGAAGCCTGATAATATCTGAATTAAGTAAAGCTGGTCCATAAACACAGTCACAATATGATATTTTTGAAAAAATCAGAGCTTTACATAGTTTTAATTTTAATTTCTTGTTTAAAATATCTTTTTCGGAATAAAGCTGTCTTAATGTGTTATAAGTGGTTTTACAAAGCTGAAATATATGTTTGCTAAATCTCAAATCTGAATCAAACCATAATCCTAAATTTTTTAATTCGTCAACCATCGGAATCAGTGTATTAATAATGGAGATTTGCATTTCATGTTTTACTGTTACACGATTAATTTTGTTACCAAATAATATAACAGCTTATTTCAGTTCATTAAGTTTCAAATTGTAAGCACTAGAAATATTTTTTAAGGTCTTTAAATTAAAGTTTATACGTTCAATTGCAAGTATTCTTTGACCGAATTCAAAGGAATAATGTAATTGGGTATCGTCTGCATAATTTAGTATAGTAGTTTACAAAATTTTGTGTACTTTTGAAAATCAGCTATGTATGTCATAAATAAGAGGGGTCCTAATATAGATCCTTGTGGAACACCAAATTTTAGTTCCAAAGAATTCGACACATAAGGTCCCAAAATAACGGTATGCGTGCGGATACTTAAATAACTTTCAATGAGTTGGGTGGTATTTTCCGTTAAACCATAAAATTTCAATTTATCCAATAATAGCTGGTGATCCAATGTATCGAAAGCTTTGCTATAGTCCACAAGTACAAGACAGCATATTTATTTTTTATCGACTGCTATAAAAATATCATCTGTGATATTTAGTAATGCTGTGTTTGTGCTATGCATTTCTCGAAATCTTAATTGGGACGGTGGTATTATACCTTTATTAAATACATAACAGGACAACTGTACTTTTATAATATGCTCTAGTATTTTGGACATGACAGTAAGTATGCTTATAAGACGTAATTGTGACAATTCTGTAGGTAAATTAATTTTAGGCAATGGTAATATATTCGAATGCTTCCAATCATTAGGAAACTTTGACTTAGAGAGTGCTGTATTGACAATAAAAACAATATGGAACATGAGATAAAAACTGACATATTCTATCATCCTAGAGGATACTTTATCGGCACCAACAGCATTGGTTTTTATTCTGTTTATTGCTTCAGCTACATCTTTTATTTCTACATGGGTAAAATTAAATTCCGGGTGCACTTGCACAGGTTCAGATTTGTACCTATCCAAAAACTGCAGTTGTTCGTTTGTTTTAGCAATTATCTGTACGGAATTAAAATATGAATTTATTTCATTAACAATCCAAAAATCCGTATTAAGAGATTCTAATTTTTTAGCCTCAATAATATTCATATTGCGCAATGTACTCCAGATAGTTTTAGATTTATTGTTTTTAGAAATAAATTCAATGTAAGCTTTTTTTTCTCACCTAATAGCGCCAGTGACATAATTTCTAATATCTTTATAATTTACCCAATCATTATTAGATCTAGAACTTTTAAATTTTATAAATACCCTATCTCGAACTTTGATCATGCGTTTAATGGTTTCGGTGGTCCATGGGGTACGTGGCTTACTTACTTGAACAGAACGAATAGGTGCATGTTTATCAAAAAGATTTAAAATATTTTAATTTAAGAATTACACTTGTAAGTCGACATCATCAAGTTCATAAATTAAATTTTAAATTATTTCTTGAAAATCTTTGTCAAACTTAGTTTAAGTAAAGATTTTGAAGTCGCGAAATATGATCATTTTAGGAGTAATTTTAAAGTTAGTTTTTTTTTTATACCAAAAGAGCACATGTGATTGGATCACTTTTTATTCTGCAAATCAAACACCTTCAATTCAGAAATATCCTCCTTATTAGAGACCACAAAACAGTCAGGTAAGGTTTGTGTAGGGGTTGTAATTCGCGTTGGTTCATTTAATAGTTGTACTAAATTGTGGCAGTCAAAAA